CCCTAGTATAAGGTAGATTATTTTCAATCTAGTTGGACTAAAAAAAATAAAGTGGTATCAAGTTTTAAACAGGAATTTTAATAAAAAGGGAGGATTCAAGAATGAAGAAACTAGAAGCAGCTCGTGAGCTCAGGAGCTATTAAAATAGTTTTGGAGCGAAACCATGATAGCCAGCCTTAGGATAGTGACAAAGAGAGTAGAAAAAACATATACACAGCTATGAGCTATTACGGATTAAGAAGAGGAAAGAAAAGAAACTAAAAATGACTCAAGGCTTTAAAAGTTTTTAAAAAGTGTGCTAATTTGATTATGACCAGGGAAGTGACATTTTGAAGGTATATTAGTATTGATAGTCTTTTTAATACAGTCCAGTCCTTTGGAAAGAAGAATGCTTGAAACGAGTTAGAATGATTGCAGTTCCAATACTATGAGCTCAAGAAAAGTCTTTAAAAAAATTGTTATTTCCTATTCCATAGAATATTCTACTATAGCTGGACCTTAAAATACCTTTAAATATTTATTATTCATAATCCATTCTTACTTGCAAATCATTGTCCATGTATGTTTCTTTTGCTGCAGCAGCCTTGCCAAGGAGGCATGAGGAGCCCTTCGCTGGGCTGCCTCTCGCTGCTGCCACCGTCTCCTTCTATGTTAGACTCCAGGAAAACTGTCCTACTTTGAATTCTCTGAACTTAACACGCTTCGCCTGTGGCGAATCTTTACACAGGTGGTTAACTTTGGGAGGAAGCCTCCCTTTCCCCGCCTAGCTGGGGAAGAGTTATTTACACAGTCTTGGACTCCTTCCTCAGCCATGTTCAAGTCTTAGAGGCCAGCTGGCTGGCCAAGTGGGGCCTGAGCTCTCCTGCACACGTTGCCGCGGAGCTTTGGATATCCACCCACATGCCCGTGGCCACCGCCGATGAACAAACGCTGGCACTTGTGGAACCAAGACATCTTCATTACACTTTTATCAGACCAACTCCGAGGGACACACACACCCTTCCTTCGACAAGAAAAACAAATTGTACAGACAGTTTTACCTCCCTTGTTGACCTGCTTGGATCAAAGAAGAAAGAATGGAAACAATTTGCCAGATTTGAAAGCTGAGTGAGGTGAAATGGGCACGGGGGCAGAGCAGAGGTGCGTCCACAGGAGGGGATGGGGTAGAGCCAGGGGGAGCCGGGGCTCTTCCGGGAACCAAACGTGCTGCAGTGTCCGCTCTGGGCCTCCCAACGCGACTGCGGAATAGTGGGACGTGCACCTGGCGAACACAAGTCTCATGACTCTAGGGGTCCACTAGTTCTCTGATGTCCATATAAGGAGTTGGAATATGAACCTTACTTAAAGTATCTAAACAGGACAAACGTGAATTGCATTTTTTAGGAAAATGCTCGAAAATGAAAAAACTATGGATTAATAGTTTTTCATCTAAAAACCAATGAACTTGTATTAGCATAAATCATTTTTGTAAGTGAAAAAAATCAGTACTCACTGAGTCTGAACTGCAGAGAAAAGTAAATATATCATTTCCACTTTTTAATCATCACTTACAGGGACTACCTACTTATGTTTGTTTATTTCAATATTGGTAAGAACCCTGAGAGCTGGACTAGTTAGACCCTGGAATGTATTATCAGACAATGCAAAATCACAATTTTAAAAAATGACTTTGGGGGCATAGGGAGTTTTGGAAATGAAACTTAGGCTGATTATGCCAAGTAATTTCCACAGTGTTTAATATTTTCTCAGAAGGAGAGTAGGAGGAAATTGTGAAGCAACATTTGCTAACTGTAAAGATGTTCAGTATGAATAACACTGTGAAATTTTATTTCCATGTAGATATTATCTGCACATTATCAATATCATATATATATACTTTAAGTTAATTATTTCAAATAGCGAATTCTCAGATGACCTATCTTAATAAATATGCATTCTATTATAACAATTATCAAAATTTTGCAGAAGTCTCATGTTATCTGTTACTATAGTCTATTTGACTTTCTGAATCACCGGTTTTGCCCTAATATGGTAGATACATCCTTCACACATAGATAAAACTTAAACTTATCACACCAATCTTCCCCATGAGCAAAGTCAGAACAATGTCAAACCGTGTTTAAAAGTACTAAACCATTCCTCATTTCTTAGCCTAATATTGTTTGTATAAACAATGTTTTACTAGACTCAAAATGATATCTAAAATCAAGTTAGCTTCAACACCTGGACATCTGGTGGGGGTGGGGGGCAGTGTCTTTGGAAGGCCTACATTTAACCTTAATGTGATTTTTTGATCCTTGAGATAGTTAACTCAATTCTATACTTTAGAATAGCTCAGAACAACAAGATTTGCTTTATTAAGTAGTTTACTGGTTATTTATACCACAGCAGTAAAATTGTGAAATTTTCCACCATCATTGTTTCTCAAAGTTCTATATACTGCATATGCTTAATTATTACAAACAATTATTGACATGATGTAAGGGACAAGAAAGAAACAAAGGACAAAAATTAGATGGTATTCATATATGAGAAATCACTGGAGAAAATAAAATTTTTAGTTGCCAAGAATTTAAACTGAAAATAACACTACTTGGACCTCGTATTTAGCACCTGAAATTATTAAAACTCCTAGCTACCTTCTCATAATGACTAAATTTTAAGTCTTTAATTACTAATTACTGAGTATTTAGTAAGTATAAAACATCCTTCCCATGGCTGTGTATGGCTAGGAATTCTCTAGCATCCAAAATAAAAAATCCATTAATCTAAGTTTAAAGGATTTAGAATGTTTTTGAATTTTAACTCATTAGATGGGGGATGATGTCTTTTTTTATACCTGAGAAAGTTTCAATAATACACTAAATCTAAGCCCACTGACTGGTATCTGTGACTTATTTCTACTTCAGACAAGAATTTTCATCCACAGCAATACTCAAAGTAGATTATGAAGAGCTGTTAATGAAATATATTTTGGTTTGGCCTTGTAATAAAAATACTATGAGTCTAATAACACTGCAATTATACCATATTGTTAACATTGTTACACACTGCACATTGTAAAATGCATATTATATTGTAAAATGGTAAAGATGAGATCCAGAAATAATTACTGTTAACATTTTAACATTTTTTTTGCAAACTTTCATTCTATAGAAATGCAATTTTCATAAAATTTGAATCGTAGGGTTTGTAAAGTTTGGATACTGCTTTTTATTACATATATATAATATTTTATACAATCATATCTACATTACATATTTACATTATATATTTTATATCATAATTACCCATTTACTTAATATGCTAGGACAGTGTTATATCATTTCAACAATGTTCAATATTATGTAATATGGCAATATCATGAATTATTCAGCCATTTTTTCTTCTGTTGAAAACTGTTTTAAGTTTGATGTGTTCTCTATACTAAAAATATTTTGAGATTGTTTAGAAAATCAAGTAAATAAAGCCTTTAAATTACCCAAAATAAAGCGTAGCAGATATTAATCCCTACCTATGACAGTAATAATTACGTTATTTTTATCACAGAAATTAATTTTCACCTTGAGTTCTTTTTCTTGAGTTCTGTGCTTGAGACTAAATGTATTCTTATCCAGCTTTCTTTTTATAGTTCCCTTTTTAACTGTTAAATCTCTAAAGCTCAAGAAATAATATTAAGGAATTGAGAATAAATTGTTCCTATTACTGAATCAAATATATTATATCAAATATATATTTGCATATATATAAAAATTTCCTCAATAATTTATGCTATCTCATTGTGATATATGAAATATATATACATGTTCAATGAAAATCACTTCCGTGTATATTTACAAATTCTTACATATGAGCAGATTGATTTCAGATGAATCTTTGAAATCTTTGAGCAGCACTACTGTACTTTGTTGCATTCCTTTGATTTTAGACAACAAAACAAAACATTTTACTAACAGTTGGCCTATCCTAGTTATTAAAACTTTTTTACACAGACTGTTACCAGCTGAGCTAAAGCAGCATCTGTCCACTGGAAATAATTGCAGAAATGTTTTGGCCATTGGCTTGAAATCAAGCATATGTTTTCCTATAACAACTAAAATATAACATTCTTTATTGATGTGTGTTAATTGTTAAGGAGTATTAATTACAGAGTTATACACCTGGATTGTCAGACTAGCATAAAATCCTAGTATATTGGTGCTGGTTGGGGGGAGGTTCATAAATATTTTAATTTTTAGTGTTTCAAATATTTGAGAAAACTATATCCTGCAATAATTGCTTTTTTTTTAAATTAGCATTTGTCAAAGATAATATCTATACAGAATAGAGACAGTAAGTTCATTTTCTCTCCTATCAATCAGTTTTGGGAGTGAACTTAAATATACCACAGCAAAAAGTCTTTAGTTTGGATTACGATTTTCTATCTCCTTTGCACTTACATTAAAGAAATTATGATAGGCCTCACAACTTTCCACGCTCTATGAATTCTTCAAGGACTTCAATTACTATAACTTTTAAAAAGGAATAATTGGTAATGTAGCAAGTCTTCAACATTTTGGTTTCTATTTCCAAGTTTGTTTATATTACTTTTCTGAATGTGGAGCGTTTGTCTAGTTTGCTTACAAAGGCTATTCATTGACTTCAGGGTTTCATTCCTGGAATAATCAACTACGAAGCATATTCATCTCTCACCAGAGGTCATTTAGAACAGCACATTTGCTAGTCTTACAGAGCTATAGATAAGGGCTATGAGTTAACTATGAGAATAATATCAATGGAGTGTTGATTACAAATGTCATTCAAGATTCTCTATGATTCTGACACCTAAAAATAAAAATAAATGCATAGCTTTTCTTCCTAAAATTAAAATAACAATATTGTTATTGTTCCATATGGTCATTCATTTTGTCTAATACATTCTTCCATCAAAGCCACCATGGCTTCTCAGTAATCTCTGTGACGCTATCCGCAAGAAAATAACAATTAAAATAAAGTATTACCTTTTGTATCGTAATGATTCCTTCCTGTGTATCTTTGTCAACAGAAATCTTGAAAATCCCTAATCCATCACCATCCACAATTTTGTACTCCATTTCAGCGTTAGTTCCTATGTCTGCGTCAGCAGCTTTAATTCTGGCCACAACGGAAGCCACTGGCAATGACTCTGGGACGTTATACTGGTAAGACCCTGCGAAATTCAAAACAAGAAATGAACAAAACCTTACACCAAACTAACCAGTGAAAAATTACCTATGGGTATTTTGCACCCTCTTTGCCTAATTTGTGTTCATTTATATTTTTTGATAAAAAAAGATGCTGAAGCAATATGACACAATTGACAAATCTCATATCACCTCAAGAAATTTCATGAAGATAACTAGATAATAGTCGATATGTTAACAGCAGAAATAGATGGCCTGAGGAAAGGCATGGGAAGAAATCTCCATTTCTGTATTTCTAGTGATGAGAAATAGGCTATTTTAATGATAAAAATAAATTTAAACTAATTATGATAATCATTGAATATAATTAAAACATAACATACATACTAAAAATGTCTAAAAACTAGTATTGCTGAAGCTTTAAATGGACAATTACGGCCTAGTACTTTGCTCTGATTACTTGGGATTGAAATTTAGTTAACAGATTCTTTTATCAAAAATGTTTCAGAAAACTAGATAAGGAAGTTTATGAGACAATATCAGTCTTATTTTGGCTCATTAATTTAGTAAGGATAAGAATGATTTGTGTGACTTGTGTGCAGAACTGATTTGGGGCACAGTGATAATAAGAGGAAAGACATTATGTGGTGGAGAGAAAAGCAAAAAAAGAAAGAGTAACTTGGAACTTCTGTAAAACTCCTCACCATCCCTCAACTCAAGAAAAAACAAAAAAGTTTGGGAAGCAGCTGAAGCTCATGAACTATCCCTTTGAAAGCAGGGAACTCCCCCAACACTTCCTTCCTACACCATTTTCACTAATCATCTACTTTTCCCTATTTTCTCCACCCTATTTCATCTCCTTTTGGTTTTCAAATGTGGTACACTTTCACTTTCACTTATGGAGAGAAAAGAAAGGGTTTCCTTTGAGAAAAATAGAGGAAAGAAAATGTCTCCATATAGAGGGACTGTATTTTAGGCTGAGAATCACTGCTATTTGTAACTTTCTAAATTTTGTGAAGTTACTGATTTTTCAAAAAAAAGAAATGGTTACAAATGATATTCTTGTCATTTTAAAGTGACCCTTTCTCACACATCCAGAAGTGTCCTTGGTAAAATCCAAAAATTTCAAGGTTAGAATAGTAACTAGTAGAGAGAAAATCCCCACAAAATAGAAACATGAGTGACATACTGTTTGCTTTCCTCACTTTAATAAGCAGAAGAGTATCTAACAAGCTAGAAAAATTGTGCTCTGTCTTATCAAATCATGCATGACAACTGAAACCACAAAAATTCTAAGTATGAATTCTTATCATTATAGACCTAAAAAAGGGAGAAACAGTTCATTTTATTATGAGGCCAATACAGTTACATTATAGTTTTTTTTCTGCAACCCTTCTCTTCTCCCCCATTATAAGCTATTAAGAGAACAATTAATGATAGGTTCATTTTTTAATGCTACACTTAAGGTAATTTTCCTTGATTTACCAAGAGTTATTAAATGTGTTGTATAATATAAATATTAGGCATATATAAAATAAAAATGAAACACCTAAAGGAATATTTAAAGGAAAACATAGTGACTATCACATTGGCAGAGAAAGCTTCCTTGTTCATTAGTATGAGTGTCTAACATCTATTTCTAAGGGAGCTCTGTTCCTTTTCTCCATTGCACAAGTATAGAGACTATACAGCATTGTAGCCTGTACGGTTTCCTTATTTTCTTGAGCATTGTAAATAAATACCATATCCAATAACAAAATGTTTTAAAAAGGCAACTAAGCGTGAGATGAAATTCTTTTTTACAATCAGGACATTTTTACTTACATTTTTTCTCCTTTTTTGGTTAAAAGAAGCTACAGTGAGGGCCTTGGGTTTTCTGGTTCTTTGGACTGATTTATTTAAAAAACTGAGTGTTTCAAAGATGTGGTAGAAGTGCTAAGGGAATGTTTGATGTGCATGAACTGGTTTAGAAATTAGGGCAGGAAAAATGAAAATGTTCAGTATTGTATTTCTGAATTAAAATCATACCCCTGAGAAAACAAAACTGAGGGAGAATGTAGTAAGAAAACTATTTGCTGGAGAAGTATTTGGAAAAATTCCTTTAATTTAAAGACGTTTATAGACTAACAAGGAACAGACTGCATTTAACAAAATAGCTTACTTCGAGGAAAGCGAGGTGGATTATCGTTGACGTCAGTTAGGGTCACGGTGACTGACGTAGTTCCTGAAAGTCCTCCGTTTTGACCAACCATATCCTTTGCCTGAATAACAAGCAAATACTGGTCTTTAGCCTCTCTATCCATGTTTGGAAGGGCGGTCTTGATGACTCCTGTAAAATTTCAAATCCCAGTAAAGCACATCATGAATCCCTGTATTTATACCAGCGAAGTGCTCTGATACAGGTGGCAAGTGGCTCAGGTTTCTGCTTTTTGTTGTTTTATTTTTAATAATCTTAATGCGTATGCAAGACCAAAGGGATAGAATAATTATATACAATTATTTTATTACAACACACAGAAAGTAGTGTAATGTGGAAAAGCAAGGCATCTCAATACTGGACAGTGAGGATTATCTTAAGGTTTTATGGAAATATGGTTCAGGAAATACCATCTTATAAATAAAATGAACTACTTATCTAGAATAACGGGCAGTCACCCCTGCGAGGACATGACGACAAACCGTTCTTATTCTTCTCTTTCATCCTAACAACTGAATCCCCAGTGACATGAAATCACTATAAACCTTTCAGCTACCGTCCCTACTCTCTCTCTTCTGACAAAATAACTGAAATACTTCACAAAGAAAAGAATGAGAGTGATTTATGTTTAAAAAGCGAAACACCATTTCAAACAGTGGCTCTGCTGCTGTATCTAACAGTCCAAGGGAGAGTACTATGGATGAGAATGACTATGTTCATGGAAATCAACACGGAAAGAATTGGTATGTTTTGTTGCCATTTGTTTCTGATTATTGGCAAGGAATTTTGAAAGCCCTTAAGACTTCAGATATATCAGACTTTCACATTGCTTGATGAGGAAACAACACACTAATCACTGTTACAGTGAATTAGTTGTTTCATATTAATAACTAATTTAATTATTGTATAAGTATACTAAGCAATAATATCTAATTATGGGATGGAATTTAGTGTGTTATATGTAACTATATAAAATGACATCTATTCCTAATATATATAGTATATATATATGCATACACAGAGGTAATATCATCAAAAGTAAATATATATATTTAATATTGATTTATATCCAGACCTTGAAACTAGCAATGCTAGGCCATCTACACCAATTAAATATAAGGGGTCTGGAATCCTACTTAAACGTTTCTTACACTTCCACCTTTTCCAACTAAGATAAAAGATAATGTCTTACATACCCAGCTAGGACTATAGCTTGAAAGATGCTGAATCTATTTTATTAAACAGATTCTAACTTTTAGGGGCAAGTTAGAATTTAAATCCTCACTGACTCAGACCTGAGGAAGAATAAGTCTGGTACCACAGACTTCTCAGGAACAAAACAGGGTGGTCCTTTAGGAAGAAAGGATTGATAGAGGATGGTCCTTTAGGCAGAAAATAATTGCACCCTCATGGTCAGCATAAAAATGTCTGTATAGCTTCCAAATTTATAAAATATTTAAAAATGCCAATTCAAATTGTTTAAAGGCTGATTCTTCAATGGACGCATGTAATAATGGCCTGTTGTGTTCAAGTTCAGCACTAATGTAAATTATGTCTATGTTATGCTATACAAGGCCTTCCTTACACTTCACAATGTTCTCATTTGGTAACTGTTTCTAGGGTGAGGGGACAGATGAAGAAAGCCTTTCAGGAGTTTAAGAAAAATTTAAACAAATAATTACTGGTTCCCAAGATTCCAAGTCATATAACTTTCATACTATCATAAGTAACCATATTTTTATTGAGTTTTGAGCACTAGTTATCAAACACAAACACAGCCACACACACACACATCAACGCATCAGTATAATAAGTACTAAATTATACTTCATTGAGTAGGTTAACTTCTAAATTGAGGGTTGCCTATCTTGAATATTTGACCAGTCAGCATGTTTCATCTAGATGATGAAAATTAATGAGTTATGTTCAGAAAAGCTTCCTATTCAGTTTTAATTTTTATTTCCATTCATCTCTCATTTTCCCTCCCAATATCAATTTGTGTGTGTTTCCATCCTTGCACATTTATGATGATAGAGATCCCATCTCAACTGATCAGCAAGGAAACCCCTGCAGCCTCATCCTTTCATGGTTTTGCTTAGTGGCATTATTTTCTAAAGGAAATACAGCATTATTAGGAAAGAAGTCCGGTAGTCCAAGTTACTCATCTTTCACTCTTCTAATTGTATCTTTTCAATGGATCCAGTAAACAACTTTTCAAAAGCAAAAATCATGACAGGTGGCAAGGATAATTCCAAATACCTCAAATATTAAACATATTTTTGATAAGAATGGAATAATTGGTAGAGAAATGAATTTAAATAAGGACATTCAAAAAATAATAATCTCTAAGTTTCTATGATACTTATCAGCTTTTTACTTTTAAGTATAAACTACCTACATTTGGAAAGGGATTCTCATACATAAGATTTGATTTTTATTTTGCTATATGTTATATAGATACACACACAGCAAGTTGTTAACACTAGATCTCTGAGTGGTAAAGGCCAGTACTGTCTAGCTGTATCTCTATGGTTTTTTGGTTTTTACGGATGATAATAATATACTTTAATTTTAATAATCAATCATTTAAAGCCACTTCTGATGAGAATATATCCTTTAGCTCTTTAGGAAAGAAACTGGCTCAGATTTTTAGGCTTCCTGTATATTTTTTCTAGAGATGTGTCATCTGACCCAGTAACCCAAAAATTTTAATTTATTATAATCTAGGTTCACAAAAACTATGACACATATGAAACCTAAACTTATCACTGTTATTGTTCAACAACTCTCTGGATTTTAGTCTAGGAGTAAATTTTCAGATGATTCTTTAATCTCCAATGGGGCACTGACAATTTTTTTTAGAAAAGTGTATTCTGAACTATGGATTCTTCTTAAGAATTTATATATATACTCTATGTAACAGATAAGAGCCAGCTCTGGTATCTACTCTTATTTAGGAAACTAAGCAATCCCTGGAGCCTGGATTCTGTACAATCAGGCTCTGGATTAATCTCAGGAGTCTAGGCAGCCACAGGTAGTAGGTAACACAGGGCTGGGGTATTCATGATATGTGGCTTTGAAATACATTAGATGTACAAGGTGAATCTCCTCCTAATAAGTCTGTATTTCTTTCTAAACTTTGCTTGTAAGCCTCATATCATTTGGGCTGTTTATCTATCTGTCAATGAAGCATATGACAGAACCATAAAAAGAGAAGAGTCAATGTCAGCAAGATGGAAGCTTCTGGAACATGAAAGGATTCCAGAGCTGGCATCGCATGAAGAGTCCCTGAGAAAGGGGTTTTTAACCTATAAGAGGCCATCCTCAGCAAGTCCAGACAGGAGTGAGAACCCTCCACAGCATGAGCCAGGCCACAGAATGGAATGTGTGTGAAGAGCATATTTGGAAGGGGCCTTTGTGATGACTACAATACTTACATAAAATTACAATGTAGCAAGGACACAGGTAAAATATATAATGTAGGTACCATGTAGTCACACCTCTATGTTTAAGAAAGAACACCTAAGTGACAGGTGATGTTTACCGTTCAATCCATTTTCCCAGGCCAGCTTCCTGGCCACGTGACCCATGCAGGCACGCTGGCCCATGCTTGATTTCGTGCTCTGACAATGACATCCTGAAATCCTACTGATAGTAGAGGAAGGGGCCCACATTTTCATTTTGAACAGCAAATTATTATGCAGTCAATGTTGCCATGTATCAAACAGATCAAAAAATTCTATTTATTTGCTTGTAGATGAACACCTTATAATATCTCTAAGTCTCCCAGTAAGTTTGTGAACATTGTGAAGATAGGTTTCTAGCGTCATTCCATTGCCTGTGAAGTAAAATGCTAACACTGGTTTTGGCAGCCATTCACATTCTTGTTTTTGGGTGGAGAAATCAAGGTATAAATGAAGGTAGAAAATACCTCTGACCATCTGGCCTGTAAGTAGTGCTACAGATGGAATATGGGCTTGGAGGTCTAGCCTTGCTGGGTTAATGATATGTGATTAATAATGGTAACAGTTATTGTTAATATTTAAAAAAGAAAAAATAAAGTTAAACAAAATTACAAAAATGTACCTAACAGTATTGCCCTGAGCCTAGTTTTACATAATCCTGATTTAACATATTTTCAACATTTTTCTTGTTAAAAATTTTACTTTCTCAAAAATGCTTAGATTTGGCGGTATGGAAAATAATGTTATTACTCACACAGATAAGAATCAGACTGGCATCAAGCAAGGAAGACTAATTCAGACTTGATTCACTAGTCTCCATGCCTTTAAGGACTAAAGACTTTCCATTTTTGTCAGAAACATACATTTCTTTTGCAAAAATTGCATTATACATATTATAAATTAGCAGAAAGGACAAAAATTCCCAGGATATCTCTGCACTAATGACTGAAAAAAGAGAAATCTCAATGATCACCATGACTACAGCATTAAAAACTCTAAACAAAATTAAAATTTTCTTCATCACCTGTAATACACAATCCTTGAGATTAAAAATTAAAATTAAGTTGGAAATACTATATATTGTAATTGCATAACTGCTGTCCAATTGCTCAGTCAGGGTCTTACCTTCCCTAGTCTTATGAAAACCTATTATCTTATGACAAAAGCTAAAATCACAAGCCAATCACTAAGCAGAAAATATTTAACCCTTGGGATTAGGACATGCTATTTTTGAATGGTTATGTAATGCAGGGGTGTATAACTTGTGAGCAAATTGTCAGAAACTCATCAGTGTCTTTCTAGGCTGCACAGAGTAGATATATAAGGGGATGGGTGAGTGTTTGAATCTAGGCTTCTCAGATCTATCATTAAAATAGCCATGAGCACACCTGCATTCATAGGATTCACATCATAAATCAAATATCTTCATTTACTTCTCCTTCAGTACTTGCTTAATCCAAATTGTTTCTTCTCTATTCGACTTTCCAGGTGGCTTCCAACCTCTACCACTTCACTGGTACAAAATATGCAATGCAGTCTCTATGTAAAAATTCTAATGAACTAGGATTGAATTTACTTCTCTGTTCATGCACATTATAACTGTCATTCTCAAAAGACATTTAAAATATTTATCCCCCACAGTGATTTGAGAATGAATTAATATTGGCATTTAAAAAATATGGAAAACAGGATAAATGACATTAAAATATTCACTTTGGATCACAGGGACTATCAAATACTCATAGTAATAAACTTGGCTATTTGAAGAATAATTCTCCAGGATGAAGGCAAAATTATTAAAATACAGAGAAAATTTGGATTTTCATGGTGATGAAGAAAGTCAATAGCATGCACTCACCCACCTGCTCACTGCCTCCCTCCCTACCCACAGAGCTAGAAAAGCAGAATATAACCAAGATAACAGTGTTCCAAATTATAATCTTACTGAATGTTCTGTTTTGCTTTTAAAAGCTGAAAGAGTTTACATCTAGCTAACCATGCACCTATTCTATCCAGGCAGTCTGTAACTTATACATTCTTTTTCTCCTAAAATTAAAAAGTAATCATTTAATTCAGTTTTGATTTAGCAGATCACCATTAAAACTGTTAAGTTTACACTCATTTTCCTGAGCAAACCAGCCTCCAAAAGAATAAGCTGAACCTCCTACCTACCCCTCTGCAAGGCAGGGGACATTTCTGCTTGAGATTTAAATTTTACTATGTATAATTCCTGTGTGAATTAATTAAAGGAAGCAAAACAAAAATAAAGCTTAAAGGTAAATAAATAATCACCATTTAAGGAAAATGGCCAACCCTTCCCCCCTGCCCACATTTTCTTATACAGTCAGAGGAGACAGTAGCTGAAAGACTTTTCAATATACAATATTTGTTCAATTTTGGTAGAAGTACTAGTAAATGTAATGAAATATTCTTAAAAAGTGTTAACACCTCTATAAATAATTACCACAGCACACATATTGAGAGAAGTATTAGAAAAATGTAGTGCCTGTTATCAGTACCAATTACACTGAATAAAAATAGGTAATATGAATTCTATGCCAAGATATAAAAAAATGACTTTACAAGGAGCATCATGTTTCTGTTTTTACCTGTCTTTGGTTCCACTGAGAAGTAGGGTTGTCCCTGCAGAATACTGTAGACCACTCGAGCGCTGTTGCCATAGGTGGGGTCATCAGCATCTGTGGCTGTCACCTGTACCACTGAGGTCCCTGTAAGCCACAATCCAAAGAAACCAACCAATTAGGAACTTCCAAATGCCACAAAGCATAAGAACTCATAAAATGATGAAGATCTGACATCAGATTTTTAAAAAAATTTTGTTTCTGTTTCAAGGCACATGAAAAATTGCTATTGTGTTTTTTTGTATAAAGGCAGACCTCCAAATATGATAAATGCTAATTAAACCCTCAGAAATATTTAAAGGATATGAAAATACATTGGCAAGAAAAAATAAGATTGATGATACACATTAGACAAGGATACACTCAGAATTTGATGAGGCTCAAATTTTAGGCATAGCATCCATCAGTGGCAGGTAACGAGTTTTTATCAAGAGCAATCTCTAAAAGTCTCAATCACCGTCTGGAAGGCAGCCTGAGTAATAGCATCTGACACTCAAACCACAGAAAGGATCTCACTGTTGTAGCTAAGCAGAGCCAGACAGAGCTGAAACTTCATTACTTGAATAAAGAATATTTGATTGATCCATTTAACTGGAGATTAGGTGGCTACCTTATCTCTTCAGTATTTCATTTTCTACTTGCTTCTACTAATTGATTTAAAAACGAAAGCATGAAATGAAAATTTGAACCTACCCCTGACCAAAAGGAGGAAAAGCATGGTGACTTTAAAATTTAAAAATTGCATCATTAGTTGTGTTTCTACATTTCATATGAGTGTCATGCTCCTTCCTTGTGCTATGTATCCACTTACTCCATCTGGGAAGCATTTATTGGGATCTGTTCTTTTTCTTTCCATGTGGAATGTAATCTTATACATATTAGATACATTTCCTGAGTTTATATATTTAAACACATGTTATTTTATCATCGATGTCCTCTCTGATGAGAATAGGATAAGTTCCTTTATGTATTCTTTTAAGGTTCAAGTTTGTTTCTAACAATTTTTTGAAAATATGGTGTTTTTAATCTAGCATCTCTTTCAGATGTATTCTTACGCAGGTCTTCCTTTCTAAGTGACTTAAATAAGTCTTAATGACATTTTGTTACAAATCTATTCTCTTTTGCACACTTATGATTTCCCTTACCAATTCCATTACATTTAAAATTGAGTAGATATGAAATATTTGTGAAATACTTTTTTTCATATTATGAAAGTATTTATAAAAATGGAACCATTAAAAAAAATCTGAATTTCTTAATTTGACAGACTTAGGCGATTGTGCCTTGTGGATGACTGGTCAGACCAAATGTTGAATAACATACATTTTTAAATCCCTTTAAGAATTAAATTTTGATGATTTTAAAATCTTAGAATCAATGACATCAATGTTCTCTATTTTCTATATAATGCACCATCTTTACAGCAATATTTATTTAAATGATATCCTTAAATAATGATTTATTTGAAAAGAAAACAACTTTAAACAAACAAGATAATGAAAACCATACTTCAGTAAATTTGGCTGTGTATAATTTATTCTGAAGTGTTCATCAAGTAACTTACCAGACACACACACACACACACATACACACACACATTCTCAGATAACTTTAAATTTTCCGTGTCTGTCTATGCTCTTCTGGCAATGAATAAGTGATCATGATGGCTTATAAGTGTGTTTTAAATCCTGTAATTAGTTGGCATGTGTTGCAAAAAAATAGCCCTGAATAGTAAACGCTGAAAGATCATGTTGTATATACCACAGTACTTAGTAGCTACTGTAACTATATGATTGGAATTAAATACTTTGACAAACCATGACTCATGATAAATCCATGTAATATACTTCATGTAGACATTTATTGTTTTTAGTTTTTTGGTATTAGCTCAGTAATCGCAACTAGTGTTAAGTAAATCCTGAAGACTTCCGAAAATCATTTTCTAAAAAACTCTGAACCTGTTGGACTCAAATAACTAAAATAACTTACATGTGTGCATAATAATCGTGCTGTTTGATATCAGGGTGGTACCACTAAAGCCAAAACTACAGTGCATTATTTAGCCTCTAAACAGAAAGTGCACCCTCATCTAATTTGCATCCCTATAGTCTATGTAGGAAAGGACCACCTTAGCAAGCCTATGAAGAACGCCCTAAATCCCCATGGGAATCAAGGAGTTGAACTGAATTGCTCAAACACACTTCAAAACTTCCTGTTTTTCCAAACATTACTACCTTGGGGAGGAAGACATGTTTTCCTTTTTCTCTAAATCCTCCAAAATCCTGTGGCTGCTGTTGTCATGGTTTGCATTGCTGTTGTTAAGCAACACCGGCAGGAAGCACTCTGAGGATGCGGGCAGCAGTGAGAAAGTGTGAGCAAGCCTGTGAGGTCACAGGAACGCTTCCATGAGAACCAGGATGAGATGCTGCCATTGTGGTTCAGAATTTTCCTGACCACAAGCATCTATTCCACCTGCTCATTTTCACTCTGTATTCTTCAGCAGCTAGAGCCTTGGTGCCCCCAATAATTTTTCCTCTCCCCTCCCACAGGAACAGAAATCTAGGGTCACCCAATTGTGATTCCCCTAAAGGGCACATATAATCCACATCTTTGCAATCTCCTCCCAACCCAAGCACTGCAGATGTGTTGATGGAATGCTGATGAATGAAATGACCTATTTTTTTTTAATTAAAACAAAACACAGTAGGTAAGATTTTCATGTGTTAAAATAAAAGTTCAGTTCTTATTTAAAACAAACTTCCTCTTTCAAAACTAAAAACAACAGGAAATAAATACATAAGTCAACTGGTCTCTATTCCAGGCCCATATTGTTTATTATTGTGTAAGCTCACCTATACTTGAATTGTACCCTGGCTAAAAACTTTTCCAAAAGTAACTGAATAAATGGAATCTAAAACAAAGCTTATGTTGTTTGATATAAAGGATATACTAGAAGTACTTTTTTCCTATTTTTCCAGTAATGAGACACTATCAAAAAGGCTTCTGAGTAAAACAGCCTTCGTTATTCTTTTATATATATATATATATATCAAACTGAGTATTACCTTATCATTATCATCAATTCAATATAAATTTTCATACATTGAAGTATCTGGAAAAATGACAAAAAGCTCAGAGGTGGTATGTGGATGGACATTTGTGGATTCCAGCACACTCAACAATCAAACAGACCGGCTGACCCAAATGTTAGCCTGGCCCGCCACTCATGGCCTGCCTGCCACCATGGCCACAGAGAGATGCTTAGAATTGTGACTCGTTATCCAAATATCAGAAGAAAGAAAAGATCATCACAGAGCTATGCCTGCAAGGATTTTATTTTTGAACTTCTTAGGCATAAGCTTAGTCATTACAACATTTAAAAAAAAATACTACCTTGTAAAGGGAATGTAAGATCCTAAATAATTTCTTGATGCCACTAAGATGGCTGTATAAAAGGAAGCATTTCCTAATGTTCCACAGAAATAAAATAATGCACTGAACAACAGGACTTGGGTGCTGGCTACTAGCTCATCTCATCCCCCTTTGCCCTAAATGAGAACCACTATGAAATACCAATGTGATTCTTTTCAGTATTTATGATGATTTAATTTTAAATACAAAAGCACACACTGCAACAGCAGCCTGTTCTTGACTTACCCACGGGAGACATTTCGGGAACTCCTGCTGTATAGGGGCCGTCCAGGAATTTGGGTTCATTGTCATTGATGTCCTGAATCTTGATGACGAACTCTGACTCCGGCTCAACGGGCTTGTTGGTGAGCCTGTCCAGGGCCTGGGCTCGAAGCGTGTAGTAGGCCTGCTCCTCACGGTCCAGCCTCTTGGTGGCGTGAATATCCCCGGTATTCTCATCAATAATGAAAATGGAACTCGCCCCTTCGCCTGACAAGATGTATTTGATGGAACCATCTCCTTTATCAACATCAGAGTGAAGCTGGTGAAAAATTCATGTGAGATGAGATTAACTTACAAGAGAGTCAGCGATACGGAGATATGTAAAAATAATTCTTATGTCAGGCAGCAGAACATGAAATTTTATTGTTCTTGGAAAGATAAGCTGGCGCTCATTGTGCATAGTGGAAAGGCTATTAGAATGTGTCAGCTTGCACTTGTGAGCAATACAATTTCATTTCTTCCTGTAAACAGTCTCATTTCCAAAGGTATTTTATATCATTCCCACACTTAGGAACTTGTAGTGTTATTTTTGACGTGGTCCGTCCTGGCCAGTTGCAGCCATCTTCTCTGAGCAGAGCGCTCACCAAGCATGCGTAAGTGGTTGGCTTGATCTTATTCCAAGCAAAGGCGCTTGCTCCAGAACACCAGTAAATTTAGATCTAGTATATTATTTAAGATGCTTAGAAATCCCCACATTCTTTAAGGGTACCCCCCCTACTCCCACTCCTTTTTATGATTAACAAGTGTGGACAGATGTCCAGCCACTAAATCAGTATCCAAATCCTGTTCTATACTTTAAAAGCTGAAGCTGAAAAAAAATTACACTGCTTTCCGAAGAAGGAATTTTAAATCAGTATGTGGCAGAGTTTCAACTAAAACCTTTATTGAAATACCAAGAACTGAATAAGATTTGCATGATTAACCCCAGCATCAGCGGCCGGGCCAGCACCTACTGATTTGCATTTCCTGTCTGGAACTGTCCCCGCTCTATGTCAGGACAGTATGTTGAACAGAGGAACCTTAGGAAACTCACAAATGATTACACATTTTCCTGAACTTCATAACCTTAGAAATACAGGACTCAACCTGTCATTCCAATGATCTTTCATCCCCTGTAACTGCCATCCTTCTGGACCCTGATTAACATGAAGGCAAAAAGCTAATTTACCAAATAATAAGGCTTTCTGGCTGGCCTACAAAACTACGTTTGCATTCTTTAAAAGACAAGGTGCGAAACATATGAAATGGGGGAACCTATTTGGGAAAGTGGGTGCACAAAGCATTTTCATCCTTCTGCGGTAACTGCTGAGGACACCCCCTCTTGCACCATGGATTTCTATAAGCGGTTCTTCCACTACACTGTAACAGCTGTGTTTATATTCTGCTTCAGAATACTTAAATGCCTGATTTATCCCTTAGTTTCTGGAGTTTTTTGTCAGGATGAGATAATATAAAAAATGAATTTCTGGCACAAATTATAATTTAGATTTGTTCAATGTGGAATTATCTAGTGGCTCGCTGTGCCGCCTGTTTATCCAGCATTGGGGGAAATTGTGTTCTGGAAATACGGTGAATTATTTAATTTTCTTAAGTCATTCTCAGGGTTACTATTACATCTATATTTCCCTCTAAGGGGGAAGAAAGCTGAAAATTATTACAGTTTGAATTAATGAGCGCTTCCTACATGCCAGGCACTGTTCTTAACATTCTACACATAGGAACTCCTTCCTGCACACACTGAATGACTTCATCATCCCTACTGGCAGTTGAGGAAACGGAGGTAGAGAAGGACTAAGTACTTTGCCTGTCACACAGCCATCTCCCTGTGGCTGTGCCAGGATCAGGAAAACCAGCAGCCAGGGGGGAAGCCCCACATGCACCTCCTATGATGGGAGCCTGCCTCTGGGAGGGAGCTGCTGCCCCGTGAGGGGAGCGCTGCAAGCACTCAGAGAAAGAAGGCGCAGGCACCGCCCCTCCCACCCGATCCACCCCACATCCCAAAGAGGCTCAGCGCCTCGGGTGGGTTCCAGCTTACCAGAAGGTCCTTTCTTGGCACTATAGAACAGCAATAAACTCTACCACCCTCAGCAACACACAGCAAAAATCTTGAGTCCTGAGACAAAAGCAGACGCTGGACGATGAGTTGTTTGAAGCTCCTGATACCTCCAGTACCACTGCCCCCTACACACACACTCCGAACATCTGCCCTCCAAACCCCTCCTCACCCTCATCCTCCGCGGGTTAGGAGTGTCCACAGGTGACAGCTAACATGGTGTGAACACTAAGGGAAGACAAAAACCACAGTAATATGTAAGTAAAAGAAACACATAAGTAAAATGTGGATTGTCCTTTTTAATCAAAGGTTTGCTTTACCTCTAGATCTCAGTTAGGACTTTCATCTATGGAACTAGGTATGATTCACTTAAGGAATTCCTGCCAATTCATTAGTGATACAATGTTCCTGTGGTATCCAGGTAAGGGGGAGAGGAGACTTTCCTTTTCAGGATATAACACACATTCAATCCTGGCTAATCTTCAGCCTGAGCTATGACACCCTATTTTACATCATATGGTATTGTTTGTTCATTCCTGACAGCGTAAGTGCTTAAAGGAAAAAATAGGCTCATACTGCTTGTTTCTCCAATCTTTCAAGGATCAGATTTCCTCCTGTTTCACACCCACACCTCTCCTCCCCACTCAAACACACCTACTTCCAGAGCCCTGAACTTCACCACCCACCACATCACGGACACTTCCTCCATCCAGCACCATCCCTAGGCTTGCAATCTCTGCCAGGATTCACAAGCCAGAAAATTTTGAGTCTAGGCTCAGCCAGTGTCCTTGCAAGGTCAGTGTCAGCATCTGCAGTTCAAAGTGGATGACCAACTTTGAAGTGTTAAGATGGATACAATATCATCATATGAATTCATACATTTAATCTATGAGACTGTATGCACTGTACTAATCTTAATAGATGGAGTGAAACCCTGGCTGTTAGTGAAAAACTGCTCTCCTTCTGTGCTGAAAAAGGTTCAGCAAAGAAAAATGCTGCAAGTGTACAACCACCAAATGGCTTTTTTATGTTACATCTGTGTAGGCATGCACGCGCGTGCACACACACACACACACACACACACACCTGCATGTACACACAATCTCTGTGGATGACTGACTAGTATAGGGTGGAGAAGAACTACCCCCCCACAGTGAAAACCTCTGGCTAGAAAAAAATAATTCTATGGTCCCACAATATGGTAAATTAATAAATAAACAATAAATGAAAAACAAAATCAAAAACAAAAATTTGTACTCTATTTGGGACACAGTAGAACTCATGATGTTATGTCTATTTTACTTGCAAATATCCTTATAAACATGAACTTAGAATTTACCTAAGCAGTGACAGCAAAATCTTGATTCATTTATCACCAGACAAAACTCACCTGGGTTTCTAAACCCTTAGAAAAATATAAGTTGAGACTCCTAAATAAATATCTATACTAAAAAATATTATATACACACACACACACACACATATATTTTTTTGCAAGTGAGCACAATGAGGAACACAGAATCCTTGGCTAAATCTAGCTCATGATAAGCAAAAGAATAGGCAGGGATAAGACACAAGCATTCTGTGAATCCTGTATGTCACTAGGTCAGCACTATGTATGGTAGCAGTGTAAGAGATATCAAGGCATGTTGGACTTTTCACAGTCTAACCAGGCCAGGAGTGCACAGCACACTATGTACACTCTAACATATAATAAGTTGAACATCCGTTTGTGGTTCCATCAGCCCCTGCCTGATAGAACACCCACTCAGTGTCTTTAATATGCCAACCCTTTCTTTTCCTTCTATCTGAAAAATAATCCTAATGCAGAATCTTAAAATCTTTCATGTGGACTATTACAAAACTCCCCAGTTATTCTTCATTTTTATAACTCACATTGTCTGGCTGTCACAGTGCTTGTCAGACACTATCTAAAATATACATTGAATTACATCACACCCCTTATCAAATACATTTAATTGCTTCCCTCAATCTAAGAATTGAACTCCAATTCCAAGTGCGGGGCTGCAGAGGGCTGTATACGAGCTCCCTAGTCTCTCTTCCTACATCTCAGAGTTGGCTCTGTGCTTGTTGGGCTCGTCCTGCCGCCTAAGCACAGCAAGCATTTCTGCCCTTCCGAACACACGTCTTCATCATCTTGCCCACCAAATAACATCCAACGCACCTTAAATCAAGCTCTCTTTTGCTGAAACCTTACCAGTTCTATATTTTTCTGTGGCATGTTGTTTGTACTTCTATGGCAAAATGCATTTAATTCTGCTTTATGCTGACAATCTGGCTTGGCTGTTTTCACATGCAACCCATTCTTTAACTTACAGACTTCTTAAGAGCTGGGTTCTTTTTACCACCATGTTACACATTCTCAATAAACAATTTGTTGTATCAAATTGAGTAAATTTATAATCCACTTTGTAAAACTGTAGTGCTAGTTTTATTTCAATTTCTATCCTGTTAAGTTTTAATAACATTAGGCAAAAAGAAAACAAACTGAACAAAGACATCCTGTAGCCCTAATCCTCCAAACGGTCTAGATGGAGCTCAGACACCTTGTTTGCACACCCACGGAATCACTTGACGCATTGTTTTGTACAGGTTTGTGTTCCCCACGAGACAGACAGACAGACAGACACACACACACACACACACACATGCAGGTTTTATAGACCCATGGAGGTCCTTGGATGACAGAATCTCCATGTTCTTGATTAGTTTTTTATCTATGATTTATTTTTTAATTGAAAATTATAAATACCCAAACTAAAATGAGATGAATACACTGTAATTCTGACAATTTTCTTACATCTATTTAATCAATGAGGCCCTGATGTAAACTCTCTGCTCTAGTACTTGCAATTCATCTGCTGAAAGTCTGAAAACAGTGAATATTCCTCAATTTAGCAAAGACTGAGGTGAAAAATAATTCAATATATTGATCAAGTTTTCTTCCCTCTATGAACACCTTAAACTCTGCTTACTTGATCTTACTGATGATTTTTGTCTTGACTCTTTGACTCATACATATAAAGATCTGTGCTTGGACTTCATTGAACAATTATGACAACTACTTGAAATAACGTAGTAGAATGTGAGGCACACAGACAAATGGCTACAATATCAGGATTACACTTTTTAATGTCTTGCCTTTGAAAATATGCTACGTTTTCATGTCACAAAAAAAGAGCAAA